CCAAAGGGAACCAGCCGCAGTTAAGTAAAGCAGGTCGCTATTCTCAGGTGCTTCCGAAAGTACGCGGTATATAAACCGTTCTTTTCACTTCCATCTACGATCGTACAACTAACCTTAAGGAAGGGGATGAGCTGTAATAAGAAACATAAGGGTCAGCATGATAGTGACCTGGACTAACTGACCACACAAATAGACATGACTATCCCATTCCTGGTTTTATCAACACAAATTGAACTCTATCGATTAGCCTCTTCTCAACAACAACAAAAAAACAGTAGCCACCATCATCCAGCACACGTCGTTAGTTACGTCATACGAGCCGAAACAATACGAACTGGCTAGAACAATTGTGAATGTTATAGCGTTAATAACACAGCGATGTCGGTAGAGAATTATATTNAAGGTAGGTTTTACAATCAAATGACTCAGGGGAAAGGATTGGATATTTCATCGTATGTGTGTGTGTGCGTGAGTGTTTGTGTGTGGTGGGTTGAATGATTCGTTGTCCGTCATACTAACTCCCATTATCAGATGAGGTCAAGTGGCACCGTGACCTTTGTCGTGATTGTGCGTTGGGGATGCTAGGATAGTCGGGATATCGACTCCATCGTTTCTGTCGACACATCCAGAGTGGGTGTTAATGGCCAAAGCTTCGGCATACGAGCGTTCAGTGCCTGTTCGAAATCTGAACAATCTTCCTTTTAGAAGCTGATTGGATCAGTTAGCCATGTGCAAAAAAATACCAAAATCCTGCACTTCTTTGAAGTAAGTACAGTGCCCTCTTTGTGAATGTGAATCGGCAAGAAATCTCCTCTTCACCATAGAACCAGTCAGTCTTATTTTTCACAATTATTCCTGCCTCAGAGGTGTGTGATGGTTTGAGGCAATCGTGACCCAGATACCGAACACCATAGACGAATCGAAGGCCTATCAACCAGCACCCTTATCGATGAGGTTTTTAACCAAAACGATAACGCCAACCAGGACAGAGAACGGGACTGAATACATGGGCGATTATCTCCGTCACGAATAGCCGTAGGATATAGCTGAACTATTTAGACCGGTGACAGTTTTTCAATTTCCTAGCATTGACCTTTTCTTCCATTTAAGGACAGTGCGAACCATTTCCCCTTGACATCGGGACCTAGTGATTGAATAGTTCTGGTCTTCTGATGTTTTTGACTTACAGGGGGTCAGGTTTCGATCGGCTCCGGATACGAAGCCGATACTGTTACAGCAAATACGAATCTTGGGACGGAAGCCTGAATTTGTTGTAGGGTTCACAGTATCCACCGTAGCTAGAGAGAAGCTCCCCCAGTTGCATCGATCCGTAGCATTAATTCAACCTCCATTTGACAATTCGGGAATAAGGTAGGCTGACCGTTGATGAGCAACCGCCAGATTGATGACCCAGATTGAGAATTAAAAATATAAATATTTCACACGTGTCTGCGTCTCAATTATGTTTCAAACAAATTACAAGGACGATTACGTTTAAGACTGAGTGGAGTTTACCGGGTGGGTTTTGTCAGACGATGATATGGTCCTGCAACTCTATGTCCAATATACCATTTTTCCGAGTAAGCTGGACGCTAGAGTGTTCGGTTAGTGTCGGTCATACTGTTCTTTTTGAATCTTTTTATTAATCTAAGTGCAATGAACAGCAGACGGGGGGGGGCGAATCCCACAGTCACGAGGACCTGCTGCTGTTCAGTGATGGAAACCGGTAACTTAAGCGCCGGGACTTGCAGTGGCGAGCCGCCTCACATATTTAGGCGTGGTATTGAACCGGACGAGAAGTAAAGCTGGCTACTACCAATGTTCGGTGGCTGTGGTGAGGGCTCGTACCTCGGACCATTGGGGTCCAAAGCACGCTGGTGACAGCAACTAGACCACTGCGCCACCATGATAGTGTAGTTGAACGGTAATTCACAACTGGGCATAGCCCTATCCAACTCCGGGGATTTTCGCCACACAGGCTTATCTTCACGCTGATAGTTGGGTGGTACTTTCGCACAGGCCTTACAATTTGATCAGGCTGTTGAAACATAAAGCGGTGTTCTAATATTCAATGCAGAGTATATACTAGGCTCACACCTTATTTATAACAGAAATGGTCGAGTAGTGACACATTGAAGATATTTGAAGTAACATCCAATCTATAGTTCTCACACAAGGATTTGCCACCTCTGTTGGTCCGACACGGTGTAAAGCCTTCAAGAGAAACACCGTTTACTCGGTTGTTGTTTTCAATTTTTATTTGATGATGCTAGTGATTTCAGCTATACTCGGTAAAACCGCGGTTGACTCTGTACGATCTGGAGAGGATGATAGGGTGATAGAACAGAGATGACACTTGCATTATGCGAGCAAACAAGTGATGCGTCTAAGTCCATGATTTACGCGGCATTAACAGCGGACATTGTTAACATTTGCAGGGTATCATGAATAGTCTAGTTAAAAGTCAACAACCAGCGCGAGTTAACTGGCTTGAAAAGACTCAATCAGACGAATAGCATTGCATAAAAACAGGTCGTATGTGTGTGTGTGTGTGCTGAAATGTAAATATTCAGAGGCTGGAATGGCTCCGATTAGAACGGTTCGGGCGGCAAGTGAAACGGGGAAGAGAACTTCGATCATTTTGATTTTGCATCCACCAAATCTGGATGGCCACACTGATGTTTGAACAGTGATCCTGTATCAATAATTGTCGGCATTTACCATCCACTTTTGGCCCTTCGCTAATTCGGAGCCCTCAACTTGACAAAACTCGGAACTTTGTGTTTCGTCAGAATCCCCTTCACTAGGGACTGGTCCAATTGGTGGGTCGGAAGACAGCAAGCCAAAACTGGTATAAATCAACAGCTATTCAGGAAAGAACCTCATGTAAAAATGAACTGAACTGGAGTTTGTTGATGCGTAAAATGCCGTAGTGTTCGCGCCATCCGATGGTGCTGTCCAATCACAAAC